ACATGTTTCGTTTAACCAAATATCTGATTAGTTATGAACTTCTAAACGAAATCTAATATAAATGAGTAAGATTTTTCTTCGAATTGAACTAAAATAGCCATTATAGATATCGAGATTTATTTCGATAAGGCCGATCTATATAGAAATCTGTTATATATCTACAAGGGAATTTCTTTCTTTTTTTCTCAAGGTATCATATAGAACAATATTCTTTATTAAAATGAAGATAATGAAAATATTGTTGATTTGAGATAATTATAAATTGATTCGATTTAAATAAATTGTTGGATATTAGTCTATAGTCAATATGAGAATATTTCATATTGAATTTGTGTAAAACTTCTAAAATGAAATAAATTATTTATTTGTTATTCGTTGTTTTCAGATAAAAGAAGAACTAATAATTAGTGTTACTCTTTATTGAATTGATTTTATTTAATTAAGGTTTGAATGTTGATTTGAGATAAGGTTAATAAGTAAATCTTTACTCAAAATATCTTCACAAAACGTTTCATATAAAAATAAAAGTTAAAATGATTTTATAATGAGATGAATATCATTTAAACTAAACATAGAAAACATCGATTATTACAATGAATTAATCGAAATTTATTTAATCATTGATTTGTTAACTAAACAATAATGAAACATAATATAGATTTTATTTGATAAAAAAAAAACAAAACCGATTAAAATATCTATCGAAATATTCTATTCTATAATTATACTCAATAGAATAATTCAATTGACCTATCATCTTTTCATATTGAAACTCTCTTTAAATAATCTCTATAAGAATATAAATTAAATCGTTACCTCTTCACGAGGGGTCGAACATATGGTGAAAATGTTTATGCCATTCCAAGATTAGTGAGGCAACGGTCGATTTTTGGATGATAAGACATAACGATTAACAAATGAAACTATGAACTAGTTAAGACTAACATTTCTATATAGAATATATACATTATAAAAACGTTTTATTTCTAACTCATTCTCTCTAAGATCTTATAAATAATGATCGAGATTAATAATAAAAATAATTCAACCAAAATATAATGCACGTTTATTACGAATTCGATCTCGATCAGTAAAACAAAATTTATTCTTAACTCCAATAGAATGATAAAGGTCTTCCTATATAAATATATAAAATATTTCCTAGGATATTTATTTAATAAATAAATATGAGTAGTTTTAGTACTCGATTTTTATGTAAAGATAAAAGGTATTGTGATCATAATATTTAATAATAAGATAATCGAATATCCAATGGATATATAAGATTTATTTAATTATTTTCTTATATATGAATATGTGTACCTACAGATAATTCAATAATAAAATCTTCTGCTTATTTAAATATAACTCGTAAATATTCAATTGATAAATCAATAATATAATATGGAGTTTTTTTTTGTTGTATAACATAATGGAAATTGAATAGAAATTGAAAGAGAATAAATATTCAGTAGATATTATTTTAAATCTTAATAATTATCGTTGAATAATATTTCCGATATAAAACATATATCAGTTTGAAATGATAATAAACGTTTATATATAAGCTTCTTCTTGAAATTGTTTCGGTTGAGATAATCTACATTCACTCGCACGTACATACACTTTTTCGCCATTGCATAAAAATTATACACTTCGCCTCTGTAATAGAAAAGAGGGCGTTCACTATCGATCTATTTTAGCACTTATATAGTACAGACTTGAAGATAAAAAAAAGACTGCAAAATCAAAAATTCTTTTCTTCGATAATTTTAATTTCAACATAATATGTTTGAATTCCTATCACATATGATAAAAAATTTGAAATAAAATGAATACAAATCATCTTATATGAACAATCTTATTAAAATATATGATATTAAACTTGATTTCACGTGTGAATAAATGTGACAGTCAACATTTATTATTAGAAAATGATGATAAATCAAATCTTATCATTAAAAAAATAAAGAAAAAGAAATTATTTATTTTTCGAAATAAAATAATTTATTTCGATCATCTTCCTTTACTTTCTGACAATGCATGTTTTCTTCATTTTCATTTTTTATTTTCAAAACAATAATAATAAATTAACTTTCCTAATAGAGGTTAATTGAAAATGTTTTAATAACTTTTATTTTGGTTCCTGAAAATTATTTAGTTTTTTTCATTAAATAAAAGCTAATTAATGATATTTTTTTAATTTTTCCAAAACTTGTTTCATTCGAGAAAAATAAAATTATCTCTAATAGTAACAAAAAGAAGTAATTAAGGTTATTTTTCAAAAATTCTTCACACTGTTTTCGTTTTATTTTCCAATTTGCACTCGTTTTAAACAGCATAATATTAAACTGAACCATCTATATATTGTAGAGACAATATCTAGATATGCACATATGGCATGTAGAAAAAAGACCGAAAGAAAAAAATGCCGAAACAAGAAACGTCCAAAAAAATGTAGAAAAAAATATTGAAACAAAAACGGTAGAAAAAAAATGTCCACACCCACACCACTTCCATGATTTCCAAAATTTTCGTAATTTCCTTTTGTAAGTCTGATCACTGCTGCATATATGAATAAACTTATCTGCATCTGAATAAACTCACTCATTGTATGCTACCATTTTCGGCGTTTTTTTTTTTTTTTATTTTTTTTTTTGGTCTTTTTAGTATTGGACTTTTTTTTCGATTTTTTTCAACATTCTTTCTTTCGAGGTTCTTTCGGTCTTTTTTATACCATTCGCACTTATTTTTCGGGAGTTCTTCTTTTCTTGTATCTCGAGAAAATGAATTTTCTTTTTCAACATCGTGAGCAAATGTATCGATATTTCAAATTTGACACAATTTATGAACTTAAAAACGAAGTGTCTAAGAGTTTAAACGAAAAATAACTCCTTGTTTCATTCTAAAGACAGTTACCCATCTAATATTTGTCAAAAACTATTGTTCCATGTGAATTTTTGTTTCTGTCATTGACCATTATCAACACTAAGGAAAGAAGAAATTGAAAGAAACAGCACGTGGACAGTTATATTAAGATATATTAAGACAAGAAAAATTCATTTATCTAGTCTGGTTCAACGGAGAAAGAAACAAATATCGAAAGACAAATTTGTTTCAGTATCACGATGGATAAAGTGATAGAATATAAACCAAAAGAAGAAAACTCATGAAGCTTATTGTTGAAAATAATTGAGATCAGAATTGAGCAATTCAGCTAAGAAAAAGACCAACTCATTTCAATTAATGAATTGAATGACTTGAACTGGAAACATGTTACGGCATTAAAGGATTCCGAGTTGAGATTAATTGACAAAACATTTTAGACCCAACAATGTGTAAAATAATTATTCGAACACTATGACACATTTCTCGCGAAGAAAATTTCACAATGAAGAAAGAACATTCGTCTTACATTGATTATATCATTCGATAGATCGAAGTCTCTGCTATATTTCACACAAAACAATTTCTTCTAGAAAAGCTTTCCAAAAAATCTTTCAAAACTTTTTGAAAGGCTTTTGTAGAAGAAATCTTTTTTGTGTGAAATAAAGTACGGACTTCAGTCTATCGAATGGTATAGTCAAAGTCAGAGAAATATTCTTTTTTCATTGTGAAATTTCCTTCACGAGAAATGCATCAGAGGGTGTCTGAATAATTGTTTTACACACTGTATACAAGTTGAATTGAACTAAATTCGTTCATATTTTTTGCCAGCATTATCTGACGTTGAAATCTCAAATATGCTCGATCGTGTCAATCATTTCTTATTCCTATTATCAACTACCAATTCCAACAAAATTGCGCCAGTACGATGAACTATACTATTTTACTGCTTTGATGATAATCATATCTCGTTAATGAAAATAGATAAAGAAATGAATGAAATTCTATTCGAGTATTATTCACTTTAGATTGTCATATAACAGAAAACATTGTCTGAACAGCAAAGAGTTTTTTTTTCTTTCTATACGATTCAGCACTGAAACTAAAAAAATTTCAAAAAAAATTATCTAAAAAAGTGAATCAATTGATTTCTCAAGATGAATTTCTACTACTTTCTTATTTTAAGCCCTGTGCCATATTCTCAGTTGAACTAAGGATTAATTTTATTTTTAATTCAAAGATTTATTTTTTGTAATGAATTATTTTTTTTTGACTTAAATTGCACATCATTGACATATTCACATTGTCATCAAAACTTGGACAGAAAAGAGTTAAACATGGAATAGAACCTGATTGGTTCAAATCGATGAGGATAAGTTACATACACTTTTATATGTAGCGTGTGAATGTAGCTTATCTTGACCAATTGTTTCTAATCATAGTAGAAACGATTGGATAAAATTTAGAGACAATCATAAGAAGCAACATGAGTATTTCAGACGCTCAACATTATATGTAAATATGTTTATATATAAATTTTTTCTTCTTTCTCATAATTATTTATAAACTGTTATTTATCTTCATTTCTCTGGCATCAAGTTAATTGTATAAATTCTATAGATGGCCCTAGAATAAAGTGTTAACAGAATTCGCTTTTCTATATTCTGACTACGTTAAAATCTATCCTATTTCATTCTTTTCTTTTCTTTTCTGTTACTTCTCTTTTTTCTCTAAATTATAATGTGAACATAATTATGGCACAATAAAATCTGATATGTTAAAAAAAAAGGGTG